GCACTGAGATGTGTAACCATATGAAGTATAACATACAAGGTATTTCCCATAAATTCTCAAGGAGAATCTGTGTTTCTAACAATCCTATTTGCTGCAATGTTACTATGGAGGACACTTGCGATGTAAAGATGTTTTCTTTTTTTATTCAAAGGAAGTACAGATATCAGCATTAAAACAAATTAAGCAATGTTTTGACAATATATTTTCACAGTTGAAAGTGCTTAGAAATAGTTTCTTAATTAACTCTGGCTTTCTAGAATATTTGAAAACAACAGAAATGCATTTATACTTGATTTCCTCAACTCCTGTTTGGGGATCTAAAATCTTTTCTCTTCCTTGTTTTCTTTAGGGAAGGTAGGAGCAGATGGAGCAATTCTTACCTTTGTTGAAGCTGGCATGCTTTTTCTTCATCTCCTCTGGATCTTTTGCAGCTGTTCCTTCACTGCAACATATGTTTAAAAGTGATCATCATTTAACTATTCATCTAGAAACACTTAGCATGTTTTTTAAATTCTTTTCTTTTAATTCCCTAATTATCTTACATTAGATATTTATCTTTGCAAATACCTTTTTTAGAAACAGGATTTCATTACGAGTCCAGCTGACTTTATACCCACTGTATGCATCATGTTGGTCTTGAAATCAAAGAGCTCTCTTTCTCTCCTGCCTCCCAAGTCCTGGGATTAAAGGCATGGGAAAGAGGCCCAGCCAAAACTCTAAATTCAATCTTCAACAATTGATGATGATTAATGACTGCTGTCCTTTCCACCTTTACTCTCATTACGAAGAAAGAAAAAATAATTTACTTCATAATCAAACCACACACACACACTCAGACACACACACACACACACACACACAAACACATACACACAAATGATAGTAGTGCTTTTTCCATATGATTGGCTTTGAACGCTCCAGCGACCTTGTATTCATATGCTCGTGGAGTCAGTGCTCCTGTTCCATTCATCTGCCCACGTCCCTATGGCCCCACAGTCCTATCTCTGCCGTGTACTTTGGAGGCCTTTCTTTGAGTGCTATGCTCTCAGTAGTCAATATATGAGGAACTTTTTTTTTGCCTCTAAGCATCCCTTTGCCTGCATTTTTAGAAGCCATGACATTTGTGGTACTGTCAAATAGTTTTAACAGTTTATTCATGTGTGAATTTTGAAACCACAGCCTGGGTGTTTCTTTGTTCAGTAAGCCTTTCTGGGTAATTCTGAGTCTTTATAACGCACAACCAGCTTCAAAACTCAAAGAAAGCAACGTGCCTTTGTCAGCTTTATTCTTCCCAGGTCACAGCTAAGACTCCTGTACTTCAGGGACTATTGACAGTATACTCTGGACCAGCATCTTTATGTTCCTAGTTTCTGCTTTGGCTGTCATCACGGTCTTGGAACTTGTGGGAACTTTTCACCGGCGATGTGAACTTTGTCCAAAATAGCACTGCTGCTGAAGTGATCTCAAGCAGATTATAGGAAAACCTTCAACCTTGACCACTGTGTTCAATGTCTTTTTAGCAGATAAGTATCCCCAGTCTTATTAGATCAAGGATAGAAACTTATTTTTTATCTCCATATTTGACATGCGTTCCTGCTCACATGTGTCAGTTGACCCGGTGCATGCTTTCAGGTCAGAGGACATCCTTGACTGTCAGTCCTTTCCTCCTGACTTAGTTTGAGGCAGAGTTTCATGTCATTAACAGCTGTAAAAGCCAGGCTAACTAAAGTCTAACATTCTAGACAGTTTCCTGTCACCATCTCCCATGTCCCTCGAGGTTCCCTGAGATTAAAGATGCCCACTAGCACATGAGGCCCTTTCTGTGTTCTGAGGAGTTGAACTCTGAATTCCTGGGCTTGTGTGATAAGTACTTTACTCCTGAGACATGTTCCTAGTCGTGATTTCCTAAGACTGTGCTATACCATGTCAAAGTCACAAGCATACTTTCTCTGTATGCTTCAACAGTGTCAGCTTTACAAATTTCTGTTTATCTTATGTTAAAGGAGGAATAGATGGCATTAACTGGTTCTCGTCAGAGGGAGACACAGGCCCTCTAACTAGATTACAAGTCTAATCGAATGTGCTCTTCACTCAGAAGCCTTAGTTCCATAATTAAGAGCAATCTGCTTATAACAACTTCTTTAATTTAGGCTCAAAGTCTTCTTTTAAAAATTGTGTGTTTTAGGGCAGATAGATGGCTCAGTGGGTATCTATACTTGTCACACCAGCCCAGAATTTGAATACCTGGAACTCAGGAAAAAGTCAGACACTGTGTAATGTGTCTATAATCCCAGCACTTTTATACTACATGGGAGGTGGAGATAGTAAAATCCCAAAGAGGTTTCCCAGCCTGCTCACCTGGAGTAAGTGGCCAAGTGCCAAATAAAAGATATAACTTGCCTCCAATAAGATGGAAGGCAAAGTCATCACACAGTATTGTTCTGTGTCTGGGATGGGAATATCATGGCATGCATGTCCTCTGACACAAAAACAAGTACGTGAAGGTGAGGGATGCTAGAACATGTTTAGAATATATGGAATGTACAAAAGTGTATTTTCAATAAAAATAAAGTACACACACATACAGGCTTTACTTTCTAATTCAACTGACTTTAAACCAACATGAATGGACAAAAAGATAGGAATCATTTGCTGTTGAAAGCCGAACTCATCTTGAATACCAAGTGTCCTATGTAGAGCTGCCCTTGCTGTGAAGAAACTCCATGACCCAGATCAACTTGGGGACAGAGGATTCATTTGGCTTATGTGTCCACATCATAGTCCATGATTAGTGGACGTCGGGGCAGGAACCCAAACAGGGAAGGAACCTGGAGGCAGGAGCTGATACAGAGGCCACGGAGGGGAGCTGGTACTGGCTTGCTTCCTTCAATCACTGATTAAGAAAATGTCTTACAACTACATCTTACAGAGGAGGCATTTTCTCAATGGAGTCTTAGTTCTTTGTACTCATCGTGGACAACTGTCCCTAACCAGATTTAACTGTTTCAGGACCTTTTGTTCACAGATTAACATCTGACCAACACAATGTCAAGACATTTCAGACAGAACAGGAAACAAAATAGCATCTGGTAATATCATTTCATTGTCATGATGGACAACCTAACGTATTTGATTGTTCAGAAATCACTTAAAGCAGAGTGAGTGATCTAAGAGACAACATGTTTTAAAAAAAACTGCTTATGTTCAACATAGAACATTGAAAAATATATAAGAAACAGAAAAAAACACTAACATTATTATAAATTTCACTGTTGAAAGAAAGCTGAGACTTTGCAAAAAAAACAACATTAATGTGAAGTTTACTTAACTTGTAGAACATTGCCAATCAATCAGATTAGGAATGACAAACTGTTGTTTTTAAATGGGAAGCTGAGCCCTGCTACACACTGTGTTTTGTTTATGTTGGAACAGTCTCTTTTCCAGCTCATACTCTCTGTGTGCTAGGCTTTCTCAATATGAGCTTCTGAGTTGAAGCCATATTCCTCCTATGATTTTAGTGTTCATTACTTTAGCAATGTCACCCTCAAGAACAGCACTAAGATTGTAAAAAATTGACAGTACCTACTTGGCTAAAGCACCAAATGTTCATCCGCAACGTCCTGTATTAAAAACTCTGCTGTCTCGTGTTGGTTTTCATGTAAGTCAAATTTATATAATGTCAACCCAGACTGTAAAGAAAAAAATTAATTTTATAAATTGACATGCTTCTCTACTGGAAATTTATCACAGATTTTGTAAACAAAAAGAGTCACAAAAGAATCTTCAGCCCTTGCTGCAGATTCACATACACAGGGGTTCTCTTCCTTTGACAAACCTTCCCCTGCCCAACATTGGCCACTCATGTCCAGAACTTTCCACAGACACCCACTGGTTCCAGGCTTCTTAGCTCCACGGACATGTGCCTCCATTGGCCCAACCCCAAAACATGCAGTTAGGTTTGGTGTGCCTCTGTTGAATGACTGGACTCAAGTGGCATCTCTGGAGCAGTTTCTCCATCTGTTTTTCAAAACTATTTTTTCCCTAAACTAAAAATTATCTCCCAAACCAAACATCATTTCCTATTGTAGTGCTCCAAAAAATGCTGGAGGTAGACCCCAGACTCTAATGGTATGTAACACAAAGCGTGCTTGTTCTTCAGAAATAGCCAGGATGCAACAGTCCATCACCCATATAAAATGCTAATGAGGACCAGGGACAAAGACATGCAGGCCCTTTTAATGGGGGATTTAGAGAATTCTAAGTATCTTTGCTATAATCGGGCAGTCGGGGAGTAGTTACATGGGGCGCATGTTGTTTGGACAGGGCTAGTAACATTTTCATCCATTGTGGGATTTTTCTGTCACATGGTCAGTAGCAGCCAGATCCTGCAATTCTGGGTCTCTCAGCCTTTTAAGGACAGGTTTCCAACTGTTTAGCTGATTGGCTAAACCTGACTGGGGAACTCGCTGGATTCAGACTCAGGTCATTAAATACAATGAAGTTGCTCCTTGTCTAAGATGGAGTCACATTTTGGCCCCTTCACTATGTACACAGAAAATTTGAAAATGTAAATTAAAAAATGTCTTTTTAGTATGTTATCTTCAGTGATCAAATTTTCCCATTTGCCTGTGTGCCTGAGACCTTTCCACTCTAGCCTCATCTCTGAAAGACAAACCACATCAGTAGCTTCTTAATTGCACAGATTTTTCTACAGACATTTAAGTTAAAATTATTATTTTTTCATTGCTTGTGAGCATGTGAAGCATGTGTGGGCCCAAATCCTTTTCTTGTTCATTTTGAAAGTAAAGCCCACATCTGAAACAAAATGCAATGTGCTGAGTTCCTTTAAGTTACCTACAAGAACTATGAAAAACAGATTTGGAAAAAAAAATGTTTAACGCTGAACAGATTCAGTGAGATTGCTTGAGCTTCAGAATGTGGAAAGTGAGCTGAGTGTCATTGCTGGAAGTCCACTGGGAATGAAGTTGAATGATTTTTACCTCTTTTGTGGCTTCAATATTTGCATCGTATTCAAGCAGGTCGCAAACAATTGTTGTGCTATCTCTGGAAACGGCACGGTGCAGGGCTCTATCCCCACTGAAATCTACTACGTGGGCACCAGCACCCTGCATCAGTAAGACAGAAACACACTCCACGTTGTCCCGCTGGGTGGCCTGTGGGTATTAAATAAAGAAAGAGATACTGAATTCAAGAACTTGAATAGGCATTCCGAAATTGCATTGAATAGTTACTCTTGGATCAGATCAATTGTTTAGGTTATGCACATTATCCCTCTCTTTTTGAGACAGGGTGCTCTTAAGTACTCCAGGCTTGCCTAAATTCATAACCTCCCACCAAAACATTCCCATGTAGTAGAATTTCAGGGGTGTGCCACCACATCTAGGTAGTAAAGCATATCACCAGCACTGTTTGGCCATTGTTGTAGTGGGGGAAGATATTCATTTATTTGCATGTTTTGATAACTTGACAGAGGCTGAAGACACCGGGAAAGAAAGAACCTCACTTGAAGAATTGCCTCCAACAGACTGGACTCTAGGAAGCTTGTAGAGCATTTTCTTGATTGAGGTTGATATGGGAGGGCACAGCTTCCTAGGGGAGGTGGCATGACTGGGCAGGTGGTCCTGAATAGTATAAGAAATCTGAGCAAGACTTGGAAAAAGCCATGGGAAAGCAGCATTCCCCCATGACCTCTGCTTCATTTCCTACCTCTGGTCCTGATTGAGCTCCTGCCCTGGTTTCCCTTCATGGCGGACTGTGATGTAGAGTTGTAGGCCGAATAAACGTTTCCTTTCCTGAGATGGATTTCACCAGTCTTTTTTATCACAACAACAATAAAAATAAGAATAACATCTAATTCATTTCATGCCAAAACTGTTGTCCAATAGCTTCCTTAATCATGGGTGTGTAGCCTTCATCATCCTGGATATTAATGCCTGCAGAGTTAGATAATAACAATATCAGCACAGCTGGGGGGTTGTGGGCACAGACGTAATGCAGTGGCGTCCTACAAATTGAGAGGACATTTTAGGAAATTACAGATTGCTATGTAAAGGCACAGTAAAGTGTAAATACTATATGGCAAAGAGCATTTCCTTCTGATGTTAGAGAAGAAACTAAAATTTTCGCATTTACTTATTTCTGTCCTAGGCATATAGTGCATGGCTGTGCCATTTGGCGAGTGCTCTATCACAGGTTTCATCCTTCCTCAGAGCAGGCTCTCTGGATAACAGGAGATGCCCACAATATTGAACTCAGCTTAGATTTGAATCCTACCCCAATCACTGTTAGTAGTTACAAAATAGACTTCCTATAAGCCTGTAATTCAATCTCTTCATCTGTAGAATGGGGAATCAACACTGCAGCTGTGATGCTTCAACTCGCATCTTCAAGACCACGTACAAATGTTTCCAGCACCTGACAGCTCAGTGTTTGCTGGATACAATTATGATCAGCCTTCCAAATGATAACAACACAGTATTTCAGTGAAGAGAAATAACAGAATTATACCCACTGCAGACACAAAATATTTTTTAATATTTATTTATTATGTATACAATATTCTGTCTGTGTGTACGCCTGCTGGCCAGAAGAGGGCACCAGACCTCATTACAGATGGTTGTGAGCCACCATGTAGTTGCTGGGAATTGAACTCAGGACCTTTGGAAGAGCAGGCAATGCTCTCAATTTTTGAGCCATCTCTCCAGCCCACGACACAAAATATTTTATTCAATAATTTTACAATATTTTAAAACTATATTCCCTAAGCTGGCCTTGAACTTGCTAATCCTCCCAGTAGGTAGGAATGCAGGCAGTTCCACTGCACCTACCTTCCTCTTTATTTCACACGTTAGCATCACTGACATCTGCCACTTACAATTCATGATATTTTATAACTATAATTGGCAATGATTTTTACTTTGCTACCATACAAAATAAAAGGTTATCATGTAGTCCGTTTTGTCTTACATCAAATGAAATATGACCCAATCCACAGGCCCATGACAATTCTACAGGTCGCTCATATCTATGTAAACATCAGCTCTTAAGACTATGAAATGTAATCAAATTTAGAATAGCAATAACAACAAACAAAAATCTAAATCCTCGGCCATCAATATGTTGACTTTTTCATTTCTCAATGTCCAGAAGTGATGTTTCTGTATTTGCTGCCAACAGGGACACATCATAGTCCGCAGACAATCGAGTGTCCATGTTAGTACAGACACCAGATGGTAACAATGGCTTTGTCTTACACCTCTCCATGATCCATCACCAGCACCAATTGAGCAAATCTCTCCAGAAGGAGATAACCAATGACATCATACTCCCTTGCTTTAATTTTCAAAAAGCTTTACGCCAAAATGTACTAAGGATTCAATTGAACATCGTTCATTGTGTTCAATATTTAAATTTATAGAATGTAAGGAAAGCTGACTGGACAGAGGAACAAGAATATTTTAAGAATGAGAGGATCTTGAGAGATAGTAGATGTGTATGCTGTACAGGAGATATCTAAGTTACGCACAGGGAATGAATAGATTGGCAGGATAGAAAAATAAGAGCTGGAACATTCAGGGTTTTTAAAGAATACATTTATCAAGCAAAAGAATACTTTGAAACAATTATTTACTCTTCTGTTATTTGGATGAATCTCTAATTTGGAAGACTGAACAACTATAGACTAAATAACCTCACAACTACAGACATGATCAAGGAGCATGTGAGCTATGGAGAATCTACTATTCAGGGCCATTGTTTTCTGTCTATAATCTAGAGAGAAATAAGAAACAAGGACTAAGAAAGAGGGCTGCAGTGACTGTTAAAACTCAGGTGGTAAAGCACTTGTCCTGCAAGCCTGAGACCTGAGTTCAGAGCCCCCAGCACCCTGACAAACTAGGAGAAGTGGATACAGGAGGATCCCTAAATCTTGCTTGCCTGCACATCTAGGTGAATCAGTATACTCCAAGACAATCAGTAAAACACAGTGGGGATTTGGGTGAGAGAATGTCTCAAAAGCTGAGGTGCAGAGACCACAGACAGGGTGGTTCTTCAGGTTAGGGTACCTTAGAGCCTTAAGCATGACCCCTGCCCTCCCTCAGGCAGCTCTGGAAGGTGTGTTTCTCCCTGGCAGACCCTGTCTGTCCCCCAGAGTTTCTGCTCCTCCTGCCCCTCCTGCCCGTCTTGCCCATCCTGCCCGTCCTGCCCCTTGCCCCTCCCCAGGCCCCATTACCTGGCACTCCTGTCATATTAGTTCAATATTGATTGAAGTTGATGAGTCTCTCAACAGAAGCCACATCGCCCACACTGGCCACCCTGTGTAGAGGGGAAACTCCTGCCTTTTATGATCCAAGCACCCAGGCATGCAGGCCACAGGTGGCTGTACCAGCGAGCCCACTGAGGGGATCTTATAGTATGGGCATCGTAATTAAGGTCCTCCCGGCCATCTCTGCCTTCCCCTTTAGCCACCTGCATCTTCACCCTCCCAAACCCAACAGTAAATGTTCAAAACACTGGTTATGTCTCCCCACTGATCCAAAAGAACGTCCTGCCAGGGCAGCTCCTTGGTTCAGTGTGAGCTGAACTCTGCTTCATCCTTAGCAGCCCAGTTCCATGGGCATAGTGATGTGCTGTGAGCACACATGGTTCTCAGCGACTGCACCCTGTGTGCTCTGCTCAGTGTGAGCTGAACTCTGCTTCATCCTTAGCAGCCCAGTTCCATGGGCATAGTGATGTGCTGTGAGCACACATGGTTCTCAGCGACTGCACCCTGTGTGATCTGCGCATGCCCATGTCAGACTCCAGCAACAAAAGCCTACAGTGCTCAGCACATGTGGACAAAGATGGTATGTTTTCTCTTTTAAGGATGTTCCCTTTAAGGTTCTGATATGGGAACTACAATCTGAATAACCACAGAGGTTTGGTACCTACTAAGGGACCAGGAGGGAGCAGAGTATCTCTCAAGGAAAGGAAATAGTGTTATGAAGGAAAACTAGAAATGGATGGTTTAATGAAAGGGGGATGGGACAGAAAGGTAAAAGAGGGAAAATGGAGAGGGACAACCAATACTAAAAGTCCTTTGATGAGGGTTGAAGAAGGGAGGGGAGAAGCAGAGAGGACCAGAAGAAAATATGGAGCTCAATAAAAATTAATTTAAAAAGAAAAGAAATATCAGAAATGGAAAATAAAAAAGTTCCTTTGAACAACTCTATGGGAACCGACTACCTTAGGAGCTTCCTATACATATGTGAAAGGAACCCACATGGAGACAAAAAATAACAGGGGAGAGAAGGCTTCAAGTAGGCATCTTGTGCCACATAATTAAACCTCCAGTGCTAGGAACAGGTTACAGCCTGTTGAGTTATTAACAAAAGGGACTCGTGGAAACCACCCAATAGAACAGGCTATTGCCAAGGCTTGTGTTGCTCACACAACCTGATGTTAAGGTCTTGTTTCTGGAGGTCACACTTCCGTCATGAAACATGGAGAAGCTGAGCTGGTGTCTAACTAGATTATTCACCTACTGACCAGAGTTCACGGTACTGAAGGCAGGAGATAAAAGACAAGGGAGAAAGGGAAGGGAATAAGGGAGAGAGGAAAAGGTGGGCAAAAGAGAGGGAGAAGAGGTATTTGTCCCTGGGGGCAAATGACTGCCTCTGGATAAAGACAAAACAGCGATGACCCATACACAAATGACAGTTTCTAAAAGACATTCGTCTTAGCTAAAATTTCTATTGCTTAAAAACGGCAACTCACAGTTTCAGGGGTTCAGTCCATTATCATCATGGCAGGGAGCATGGCAGCGTGTAGGCAGACGTGGTGCTGGAGACGCAGCTGAGAGTTGGACATCTTGCAGGTAACAGGGAGTCAACTGAGACACTGGGCAGTATCCTGGGCATGGGAAACATCAAAGGCTGCCCCCACTGTAAGCATTAAAGCTTGGATGGAAAGGTTTCCTGGCAGCCAGGAGCCAAGGAATACCACAAAGTAATATCACACAACAAACCTCACACAAGACATTTTTGGGGACAGGAAAAACCGGAAAGCATGCAATTGAGAAACAGCAGCAATCTGAACAGGATACGGGGCTTATACAGAGTTTCTTGGGGAGAGTGTAGAGCTTTCCAGGGTGGAGATTGGTGGGATTTCATGTTCAGAGATTGGGCTTCTTACTCTATGACGTGGGGATTAGCTTCAGCAGTTAAGACAGTTAGAATGTCCTGTGGGCGGAACCTGGCAGTTGGAGGTCGTGTGACCTGAGGGGCTTACATTCCCCCCTTTTTGTTGTTTATTATTGATAAACAATTATGTCGTGGGAAAGAGGAGCAATGTGATTGTTAGACTACTTAGTGTTGAAATAGGGCGGCAAAGCCCTTTTGGGCAAACTTGATCTTCACCATCAAGGTATATTTGGGAGTCTCTGGCCTCTGGCTCTGTAGCTAGGAGCCAGTAATCCTGTAATAGCAACTGATTAAAAGTCTGATGAGTAAATTTTTGAATCTGTTGTTGAAGGAATCGAGACTAGAAGTTTATAAGGCACAGTGCAACCAGTGTGATTAAGAAAGGGAGGAGAAAGGGGTTTAATAATGGTAGTACCCAATTCCATATTGGACTGTAAATGCGCCACTGACTAGAGGCATCAAGCTGTGTCTTATGTTTTTGAAGATCCAGCTGGAGTTGCCCGATCTAGTCTTTTACTACACCTTACTGCTTAGCATAGAAGCAATATTCCTCCCAGAGGAAGTGACAAAGACCACCTCTCTCTTCTGTTTGTAGTAACAAAGTGAGGCTTTAATAAACCCCAAGTCAATGGAGGAAGAGAGGAAGAGTCACAAAATGAACTCTGCTTGAAGCAGTTTCTGTTAGGTCCAAGTGGCAACTGAGAGGCAAGATAGAAGCCCAGGAGGGCACTTAGAGTCTCTGAGACTTCAGGTGCATCCGAGAGACAGGAGGGACTAGGTCAGAGAGGCCCAGAGGGCTAATAGAAGCTGCAGGACTTAGTAGGCAGCTTCTGGGAGGCCAGGAACATGGCGAACAGATAGGCCCAGGAGGGTATTAAGAGAGATAGATCAGGTAGTTCCAAGGGAAAGGGGGCAAGAAAAGGTCTCAGAAGATTCATTCTTAAAAGGGTTTCACTAACATCAGGTATTTTTGTTTTAGGGCCTTTTCATCTCCTCAGTGGTACACCTTGAAGGCCACAGATAAGACTTCTACCTGTGGAGTCAGCGGTCCTTTCTCTAGATGTTTAAGTTTGGACCTGATGTTTGGGAAACTCTGGGAGAAGTAGGTCACAAGGAGTTGTTTTCTGTATGGAGTCTGAAGATCCAGGTTTGGCATAGTGTAAGAGCGCTTTTGTAAGGCACTTTGGGAATTGCGCTGGATTTTCATGTTTGTCCTGGAGGACGTCTTGGATTGTTTCATAATTTACTGTTTGAAGTGTGGCATTTTGAAGACCAGTGAGGAGGCAAGCTACAAATTGATCTCTAGCCTGTCAGGGAACACCTCAGCACTGTCTGGACGGGCAGCCTGGAGCTGAGAAGGGAGAAAGGGAAACCAGGGAGACTGGAGAAAAAGAGGAGACTGTGGGTTCAAGTGGATGAGGCGGAGGCTTGTGAGTGTGGCTGAAAATAGAGGGAGAATCATCTGGTTTGGGCCTCTCAGCTAGGAGGAGTTCAGCTCTGGCTATAGACAGAGAACCCTAGGGGAGAGAGCTGAGGGATGCACCAGTCTGTGAAGAGCCAGTGTAGGGTGTGTGCCTGATACAACTGGCCTGCTCCTTTGATTCCATCCGCTCCTGCTGTGACGGCCCCTGGGCCCACTTTGCAACAAAGTTACAGATCTGTTCTTAGTTAATTGAAAGACCCAACATTCACATGGTATTTGGTGCCAGAGACTAGACAAAAACAAACAGCACTTGGAGCTGAGGGATGAGAAATGAGAAATGGGGAATTTCTCTCCGTTTCCAGGGATCACTCCCAGTATTTGTAAAGGTCCCACAATATTAGGATCTAAGGTGCCATTAGGTGGCCCTTTGAATTGATTATCTAAGGGTTATTGAAGCCAAATTTGATTACAAAAGTAAATAAATTTAGGACCCTTCAGGTCAGGTGCCAGGTGTAGAGGCTACAGGTATTTTAAGAAGCATCCAAGGGGAAAAGAGAGGGTATGGAAGAATCAGTCTCATGGATGAGAGAGAAGGAAAATGTCACTGCAGACTGTAGTTGTGGGTGTAGTACTCAGGAATGACCAAGCCTTTCAGTAGGTTGTCCCCACACTCGCCGAGGGTCAGGGGCTTAACCTGGCTAAGCCAGTGGAGATACTCGGGGCCTGGTACCAGGGCTTTTGTAGAGACTGGAAGGTGAGGACAAAAACTGAGCTCCTGGAGGAGGGGGTCTCACCCACAGCAAAGAGTTGGGAATGGGGTCCTGAGAGCTAGGCGGACATAGAGGAGCTGCGGGATTAAGGGCAACTCTGAAGGGACAGCTTTCCCAGCCGAAGTGTAAGAGCTTTGTTCCAGCCCGGGAGGAAAGCTTTAACAATTCTGCTCCAGTGTGAGCCATTGCTCTGCTCTGGGAAAAGCTCCACTCTCCTCCGAAGGGAAGATGGGAGAAGAGGCAGGAAGGGAGCAATAGCCTGACTTGTCCTAAGGAAACTGCAGGATTGCAGCTCCAAGGGTGTGGGTGAAATCATTAGGTGAAGATGTCAGCGGGGAACCCCTGCCTCCAGAGTATCAGAGCAGTGAGGAATACTCAACAGTCACTTCCTCTACTCGGGGAAACATTTATACCACTGTGTGGGAAATCCTCATGCTCAGAGCTCATCCCCGAGGGCACAGGCGTCTTCGCTGTGTGGCCAGCATGTATCCTGCTCAGATGAGTGGCTCCTACTCCCCTTGGTGACTCTCAGGTGCCCTCCTACAGTGGCAGGTTGAATTGGACTCTTTACCACCTAAGTTTCTAGAACTAAGCACGTTCATTTTATTGACTATTTTTTTCAAACATTTGGTCTCATACCTTATAAACCCAGTAAAGAAGTTTCCTTCTGCACTGATTTGGTTGCCTGGCTATTTGTTTCTTCTTGATATCTCAGCATAATTCACAAATATTTGATGATTTTTAACATAATTTTATTGATTCTTTGGGAATTTTATCTCATGCGCCATAATCACACTCATTTCCCAGAGCCTCCAGATCTGCTCTTCACCCTTGTAGTGATTCTACAAAGGGAAATATTAAAAATAAAATAGCAATAAGGAATAAAATTAAGAATATTAACTTTAAAAGAACTAAAACCCCACTTCATGCCTTCATCTTTCCCACCTCTCTATTGCTTCTTCATTCATCTTAGTGACACTGGGAGCTGATGTGTGTCATGCAGTAGACACGTTTGTCCAAACAGCTTCTCTTGTGAGTGTTCATTGTGTAATGTGCTGTTGGTCAGGTTCAAGGCCTCTGGTCTGATACACCATCAATACTGGATCCTCACTGAAACTCCTCTTGAATATCCTGCATATCAAGTCAAGTCATGGAGACTTATGGGGGTCACTATCCCAGGGCCTGTGTGTGGTGAGGTCAGCTCTCTGGTGGAGGGGACAACTCTCCTCAGACCCTGGCTATGTAGGACCATGGATCCAGACATTTCCATGGCCACAGCTCAGACTTGGAGATCCACATGGCTCTGGATGGCAGCACAGGCACCCCAATATGTATGGCCCTGGTGGCAGTATAACCCTCAGGCACCAACATGGCCTCAGCTGCCAGCCCAGACCCTGGGCATCTGCACAGCCTTGAGTGGTAAGAGGAGCCGTGAACATCAACACAGACCCTAGTTATAGTGGGGCCACAGACCCAAACATGGCCCTCCACAGCAGATCAGACACAGACAAAACCATTGCTCTGGGTAGCAACATAGCCCACTCAGATTGGCATAGCCCCTGTGGTGGCATGAACCTTAATTACCACGTGGCCACATCTGGAGGCCCAGACACCTGACATCTTCACTGCCCTTGAGGGTAACAGAAGTCACAGACATCAACACAGCCTGCAGCTACAGCAGAGGCATGGATCTGTAGCCCAATCCTGGATAACACCATGGCTGCCAGTGATAATCAGGCCTTTGATGAACTGAACCTAGAACAGCCATACAAAGGTGTATTTAATGATTGTTACACCAAGTTGCTTTCCAGGTCAATTATACCAAGTTCCCTATGCTAATTCGTATGTCTCTCTGAAGGAAAGCACCACACGCCCCTGCTTCTTTAGTCCTTACTGTGTGCCATCCATTTGCAGTGCACAATAATCCAAGAGCTTCAGGTGTGACCAAAGTCATCTTGGGACCAAAGTCATGCAAAGGTTGTAATGCTCGCTCAGAAAAACAATTCTACAAATCACAGGGAACAGTCACTGTTTTCCACAATGACTCTTCAAAGTGCTTCTAGAAACCAGCTATTCTGTCTGGTGTTCCACCTAGATACAGTGGCTCTGCTAGATTCCTACCGCACTTGTTCCTCCCTGTCTTCTCCACAGCACATAAACCACTCTGCCCCTCTCTCCCATCCCCCACCACATGTTTGCTCACCTCGATGGCTCCTGTGGTTTCTTCGGCTCACCCAGGGCAGGTGGCCCCAGGCAGGCTTTTGGGTGCCCATCACCTTCCTGGTCCTGATGGTACTGGGCAGGGCATGTTAAATACTTTTTAACAGTTGATGGGTTTTCTGTGGTGGGGGGGACAAATGGACCAGAAGATGGCCACTTCCCTACATTCTTGTAAGAGTTTGAGGGATCACGGGAATTGGTTGAAAAATGAAGGTAGATGTTTCCCCTAAACACAAACTAATATATTAGCTGAAAATGTGCTTAGATGTTGGGCTAGTCCTAGTTTTCTGCTTTTTCTACTTTGCAAGCAAGCACCAGGCCATCCATGGTTACACTGTCCTTTAAAACATTCATACACTTATCTCAGAAAGGGGGAGGAAGAGAAGAAGGAGGAGAAGGAAATTAAGAAGAGGATGGGGAAGGGGAGGAAGTCAGGAGGAAGGGAAGAGGAGAAAGGAGAAAGACCTTTTATTGGGTCTAAGGTAGAGGCACAGGGTGGGACTGTCACTCATTCATCCTATTGTGGCACTCAGTGTCACCATATACACAGTCAGACATAGAGTCTGAGAAAGCTAAACATGATCCATTCACACAAACACTGACATGAAGAGGATGGAGTGTTGCGTGAGCATGACACCACTGGCCTTGGATGTTTCCATGGTGATGATTTCAGTTTAAGGAGCCCTGTGAAGACAGGGCCCATGAGTGCTGGAAGATAGGTGAAAAGTGATGAGCAAGATGACTCACCCCGGCTGAGGGAACTGGTGAGGCAAGGCTGCCTGCTACAGCCTTGCTAGGTGCTTCTGTGGCTTGGGAGATGCCCCACTCAGCCTATATATAGGCAACCAAACGAGACAACTGCTGGGGCCCTTCAGAGGAGGATTCTGATAACCTGGGTTGCTGTGTCCTTTCCAGGTGATGGTGTGGATTCATGGAGGTGGACTAGTGTTGGGTGGGGCTTCCACCTATGATGGACTGGCCTGTCTACCCATGAAAATGTGGTCGTAGTGGTCCTTCAATAACATCTGGAAAGCTGGGGATTCTTCAGGTAGAGTTTTGAACATTTTTGTTTTACACACTAGCCCCACAATAGTCTGTTTTCTGATTCTATATCAGAACACCAGATTTTGTGATATTTATAAGAAAAATATTTATTCAGTTTAGGATTTAAGAGGCTAGCAAGCAGGATACATTTCTTTCTTCTGTTTGTGGTCTGGTGAGGGCCCTTATTGAGATCAGCATGGCAGAGGGACAGAAATGGAATCTGCAACAAGCAGAAGAGATTGCATGATGAGACACCAAGCTGGAGGGGGGAGTTGGGAAGTCTTGCTGTTTTCATAATTGGCTCACTAGGGAACTAACCTTAGCCCAGTGAGCTCAACACCCCCAAGGGCAGTGGACCCAGTGTCTTAATGCCATTTCATAGGACCTCACATTTTACAAGATATGTTGCTCCATAATCCTTTCACATGTGCACATCCAAACTGTAACATCTTCCAGGTCAAAGATGCCAGGACCCCGCTCCAGTAATGGCTTGCATCTTAGAGGCCTCTGCTGGGCTCCTTCTCCGTGCATCCTGGTCCTTCAGTAATGGACCTCACCTGTCAATGAATTCTCCACTTGCTACACTTGCTTCTGGGCAGATTTGTGCGTTGTTCTCTCTGCTGTCCCAAACTTATGTAACAGTTTCAAAGCCTGTTTAGGTGAGTGGTGACCGTGCTCTCAGAGGTAGATTGAGTCATGCCAAGCTTCTGCTATTCCAGGCAGAGAACAGAACAAAACCTCCCTCCTTTT